TACTAAATTTTTTCAGTGAATGTGATCACAGTGGATAACTAAATCCCCAAGGTACATTTTTTAATGGGAAGATTATTTAAAAAGATGGTTCTGAAACATCTGAATGATATTGTTTTATAAATTCAATTTTACAGTGGCCTGGAGAATAAACTCTATTGTCTTGCTCTTTATTAATTTATCTGCTCCTTTTAAGAAAAGAATAGTGCCTAAGTAGAGACTCCAGAGAGAAAAAACCCTTAACCTTGCTATGGTTTTTATCCTACACTGTGAGTTGGAATAACTATAGATAGATCCTTTTTTAAAGAACAAAGATGCCTACTTCTACCCCTAGATATTCTAATGCAATTAGTTTAGGGTAGGATCTTGAGCATTAGTTTTTGTTTTTATTTTTTGAATAACTCTCAAGGTGATTCTTATGTAAAGTCAAAGTTGAGCACCTCTGGACTTCTGGATTATTTTGTTCAAATTGGTCACTGTGTTCAAACTGATTCATCAGATAGGAAGACAGCTATCAAGTGATGGCCCAACAGTCATGGCCATGGTAAAATTATCACCTTCCCAATTAGATATATAATTTTGCATGTGTTTCCATCATTCTAAAAAAAATTACTTTCCTCGGTATCACTAGCAATGTTCTTCTTGCCAACTTTATTACATGCTCACTAACTCAAAATGTGATATTTTTGCTTTACTTGGTCCTCTAATTTGCTATTTAATTTCTCTTTATCCTTCTGTTTTTTTTTGTTTTTTTTTTCTCTCTCTCTTACTTGGCTGATTAGACTATAGTGGACAAATTTAAAAACACTGAAACACATCTCTCCATATTTATATTTCCCTTATGGTTTGAAAAAATTACCTATTTGCTAATGACTTGTGATCTATGGTTTTGTTATCTTTTGTAAGCTCCTTTTTTGCTCCATCAATGACCTATTTTATTATCCACAAAAAATGCCCAGTGTCATCTCATCAATCTCCTTAAATTTGACCTAATAATTTTGATGCTTTTGTGACTCCATTATCTTCCACCTCCAATCTATCTTGAACATTAGAGGAGGGTTAAACTTCCTAAAACACAGTTTTTATTACTGCGCAAATCTCCAATGACTCTAGATTTTCTACTACATCAACTCTATTTCTCACTAATCACCAAGATGCATCCATCACCCAAATCTAACTGCCTCTCCACTGTTCTGCAATTTTGCTGGTCAGACATGTTCACTTTGTGCATTTGCTTGTGTTTCCTCCATGTCTCCATGTCTTCTTTTTCTTCTTCTTTAGATATCAAAATCCTATCTAATATTCAAAACTCATCTCGAGACCAACCACTCCCAAAATATAATCACTCATTTTTTCCATATGACTCCAATTCCTCTTTTTGTATAACTTAGAGTATTTTATTTGGATAATTTTATATTTAATTTAAAATTAATCTATATTTAAACCCAGGCAATCTGATTCCAGAAATTCTACTCTAAACTCCTGAGCCCTATAGGCTGTCCACAAAGCTCAGCAAAGCAGAAACTATGTCATTAACTATAATTACAAAACACCTTTACAAGCATTTTATCTTAAAATGCAAAGCACATTTATCATTTTGACCACTTTTACCAAATTAGTCTCAATTTTGATGATTTTAATTATCAAGTTATTTCTGTCTGTTTAGAAGTGTACCACTGTTTTTGGACATCTGCCATAGAGAAAAGACATCCTAATTCAAAATATAAGGATAATGAGAGCAATTCTACATGGTACATGTATTTAATATTCTTTAATTATAAAGGTTTAAAATAAAAAAATAAAGAAAAAATGTATAATATTTTATTTCCTCTGATATTCAGATATTTCAAAATTGCCCATAGCTAACTAATACCAATCATTCAAATGAAATTAGTATTCATTCAATTAGCTGATTTCACTTCATAATGTCATTGAAGCACCTGGATAGTTTCTTCACTTTTAATTCCATTAATTTGAATAGCAACTTGTAGCATGGTAAAAACATGAATTCTTTTCAAATTTTTAATTACATGAGCAGGGTTCATAAGCATGTTTTCATAAGGATTCTGATTTTATATAGCATATAATATATCCTAAAAATAAAAATAAGTGAATTCTGACTAAAATATACCTCCATATTGCCTCTTCCAGCTGCTTACATTGCCACCTTTCTCAGATTTTAAAAATTCAGATTTTTAAAATTTAGATTTTAATTTTTATCCCAACTTATTAAATTTAGTGCTTTTGGATCTTGTTTTGAACTCAAACATTATGGATGTAAACAGTGTGCTGTTATTTTATACTAATACACTTCATATTCTACAAAGAGTTGCCTCTTAACTCATTTAGCTGTCCACTAAAATGCTGGATCTTTGAGGGCTGAGACTGTATTTTTTCACCCCTTTACCTTCTTAGTCTTGCATGGTGCTGGCATGGAGAAATTGTGGAATGAATGGATAATATGAATGAATAGAAGTATGGATTTGAAGAACAGGAAAGAAAAATACACTCATTTATGGGAGGCTCAGAGTTTCCTTATAATTTTACTTTAATATTCTATAGAACTGCGGACTCCAACCCCCAGGCTGCAGCCTGCTAACAGTCTGTGGCCTGTTAGGAACCAGGCCACACATCATCACCTCAGGAGCTCCGTGTCAGGTCACCCCGTGGAAAAATTGTCCTCCATGAAACTTAGGAACTGGGCCTCACAGCAAGAGGTGAGTGACAAGTGAGCAAAGCTTCATGCATATTTACAGCCACTCCCATTGCCAGCATCACCGCTTGAGCTATCTCCTCCCTCCTTCCCCATCGGTGGAAAAATTGTCTTCCATGAAACTGGTCCCTGGTGCCATTAAAGGTTGGGGACCACTGCTATAGAATATTAATATAGAAGAGCCTAGAAGAAAAGTCGGTAAGACTTATTAGTTCATTAAGTTCAATATTTTAAATATATAATTTTTTTATTTAAAAAATTTAAAAAAAAATTCTTTTTCCTTTTGTAGCAAAACTGTTTTTGAAAAAGAACAAGGGGGAGGGTTAGACAGGGGCAATTTAGAGTTCAGGTAGTAAAGCTGAAAAAAAAATCTGAATCAGCCATTTAAAAAACCAAACTCTCCCATGAACACTATTGGAGCTTCCTGAATCTCTTTTTAATTCACTGTTAGTTAAAATGTAAAGGTGCTATTGTAGGAATATCTGCTTTGGTGATGTGTATATTGCATGTCTTCCATGCTTATGCTCACTTTTGGCTGTGCCAGTAATAGAATCGATTGTTTCTTCAAAGGACATCAGCTTGAGCGTTTTTTACATTTGAAAAATGAATGTCAGATAAAAATTATCTTCTGCTTTAATTATTTTGTCCTGTGTTAAATAAATGATTAATTAAAGAAATGAAGACTCGAATGCTTATTTGATAATACATATATATTAGTGATATGAATTAAAATGATATAACTCTTTGCTACAAACAACCATGAAAGAATATAGTTTTGAACCAGTCACTAAATACTTTAGAAACAAATTGTAGTAAAATAAAGTTTAAAATAATGTCAGCTTGCCATTTTATGATAATGAAAAATTTGCCATAAATATTTTCTTT